TTTGTTTTTTACATTTTTAATCCTTTTTTTTTTTTGGGTGGTAATTTTTTTTAAGGTTGTTTAACTGTAAGTTATAAAATATATATTTAATATTTTTATTAATTGCACATCAAATAGTTTGACCCAAGAAAATGTATATTCATGATTCAAATATTCATGATACATTCAAAACATATAAACATGGTATGTTTTCGACTAAACTACATTTTTAAACCAGATCATCTTGTCATTGACCCATAAACATGAATCAGTGCACTCTCCTCATGTAAAGGTGTGTGAAGGTTTTCTCTTTGTTCGTTCCATTCTGTATGTAGAGGGCTTTAGGTTTAGAGATCAGATTTACTGAAGTCATTAGAATCAGATGAATCTCTCTGCCTGTAGCGGCACATGTGACGACTTCGGTAAACCTGACCCATGTTTGTTGCTGCTGAGCTTCGTTTCCTGCAGTCATCTGATGACCGGCGAGAGGACTCTTGATTTCTGTGCCATACAGCACTTAACACCATAAAAACACCACAAGCCCTCTAAAGGCTCTAGTGAATGTTGGGCACATTTCAAAGAAGTTAATTCAATTCAGATGCCAAATTGGACATATTCAAAAATGCATTTCATAATTCAGAGTACCTCTCAAATGGACAAAGTAGCCCATCTCATCACTGTGTTTGTTAGTAGACATTCCCAACCCTTCTCATAATAAGACCGCACAAAAGAAATAGTGTGACAATCAACCCTGACCCGAAGGAAGTTTCACCAAGTAACCATTTCCTGTGACATCACTGTTAATACAAGCCACCGAAATGAATAAAGGCATGAGGGGGTGTGGTTAGAACACCTAGAGATCATGATTGACAGGTTTGTGTGGGCACCTTACGGGCTCTCCATCTCCTCGCAATCTTTGGTAGAAAATAGGCTACAGGCCACACCTACATTCAAAACACGGGCCGGACAGATTTACAACAGTCATGCACCTTGTAACAAGATATATCTGATTATTATTCTTTAAAAAGTTAAGAATTAGGTCTGGATTTGATCTTGATCCACTGTGCGACATTTGAGGTTATTTGGAGTTGATGAGATAAATGAGATGCATCTGAATTTAAATTCACAACTGAACACAGTCAAGACATACAGGTGAATCTCACAAACATATTTCCAGGTCACATTTCATCCCATAAACAAAATAAAATAAATGATATTCTGCTTAAAAACAATGAAACATCCATTAGAAAAATATTTATTGAAATGATCTAAATCTTTTTTTTAAAGGTTTTGTGAGATGCACCCCACTAAAATCTAATAATCATATACTAATTAATCAGACATAAACCAGTGCACATGCATTCAGAGCATTTACATTAATGCAAAAACATGCACACGCACACACACACACAAAGACAGAATGTTTCTTCAGTAGTTTAGACTGTGAACTTAGACATTAAATGCTCTCGGTTACTCTATTACTCACCACTAACGCCAGAGGAGTTTCCTTGGAGAGCAGAGTAGAGGTCAGAGGTCAGACATGTACACATACACACTACACTACACAACTAAATCTACTTGGTTAATGAGAAGGCTGATATCTACACTCATAAACACACTATTATCTGCACACTTAGCTGTGGTCTAATATTGATGCTATAACTCTCCACACCACTAGAGCTACTTACCGACAGAACAAGCTGAGATTCCTTGAGCAGGCAAACGGCAGAAATGGGAGAACATGTCAGAAAAAGAAACAGAGAAACAGACAGACAGACAGATAGATATTTTCTGACCTCTATGGCATCTTTAAACTCATCGTCAGGCTCCGCCTCCTCTGCCTCTTCAATGTTGCCGGGTGACAGATACTGAACAGGAAGCACATTCACAGAATAAGTCAATCTGGACTGGAAATAGAAATCTGTACCAAGTAGCGCAAAATAATCCATCTAAAGTAAGCTATCATAGACGGTGTTGACCGTGATACCGGTGTTAAGCCGCAACACCGGTTACGTCACTTGCCCACCGCGTCACCGACCCCCACCGTCGTTTTGATTTTTTATAGTAATAAAAACCATTTAGTTCAGTACAAGAACAGACACTACAATTAAAAACTGAACGTGGCTGCTCAATGCAGCATGCCGAATGACAATCGCATCACAGATCAAATTTCATTTTTCCAGTGAGGAGAGTGAGTCGAGCTGACTGACAAGAAGAGTGAGGTGAGACAGACAAGACGAAGGCGGATGATTTAGTTTCGAAACGAAATGCAAAAGCGCCTGTTTGGCAATATTTTGGATTTTGAAAAGCCTGTTGACTTTTGCCGTTTATCTAAGGTGATTTTGGACGTTTTTTTACACATTAGTTTTTTATTTAATTGGTTCCACAGTGTTTGCTGATTTTTACTTTATTTAAACTGTCATTTATTTATTTTATTTGACATCAAGGTGTATGCCGTGCCTCCAAGCTTTCTTACTCGTTTTGCTAATAAACGTTCTACGTTTCTTATTTATTTGGTTATATATTATACATGTTTACTT